TTGTATGCATTGTCCTTAAGGCTTGGTCTTGTGCAGCCAGAATTAGTCCCTCGGTCTCTTTCTTCAATTTTCCTGCTCTTAGCCATTGCCAGGTTTTATTATTATCTGCTTTCCCAGCTATTTTTTTCATGTATTGGCCATGTAGTGCTTTGTCTTCCCATGCCTCTATTCTGTTCTTCATTTGGTCTTTCTTGTAGGCCAGTTTGGTCTCTCCAGTAGTTAGTAAGCCTTCCTGATATACTAATTTCAGTGCATCTTCATCATTGTTCTTCAGATATTCTTCCAAAGCCATTTTTTCTTCTTCAACCATCTGATGTACTTGTAGCATTCCACGCCCACCTATTTGCCTTGGTAGATAAAGTCTATCAATGTCACTGCGTGGATGAAGGGCATGATTCATTGTCATTATTTTTCTGGTCTGCCTATCCATTGCTTTTAGTTCTGCTTGAGTCCAGTCCACTATTCCAGCTGTGTACCTAATGACTGGGATTGCCCAGGTGTTGATTGCCTTTATGGTATTTCCTCCATTGAGTTTGGACTTTAAGATCTTCTTCACTCTCTTGATGTATTCACCTCTAATCTTTTTCTTGACTTCAGTGTGCTTGATGTTGTCAGCTTGAAGGATACCCAAGTATTTGTAGTACTCTTCCTCATCCAGACTCTTAATGTTATTTTCGTGAGGCATCTTGATTCCTTCAGTTTTCACTATTTTTCCTTGTTTGATAGTAAGTGTGGCACATTTGTCCAAGCCAAACTCCATTACAATATCTTGGCTATATATACGGACAGTGTTGAGCAGCGATTCTATTTCAGATGATGTTTTTCCATACAGCTTCAGATCATCCATGTAAAGGAGGTGGGATAGTCTGGCAGATGTTTTTGATGTTTGATAGCCATGTCCTGAGTTATTCAGTATTGTTGACAGAGGAAACAGTGCAATAACAAATAGTAATGGTGATAATGAATCTCCTTGAAATATTCCTCTCTTGATATTAACCTCTCCCAGCTCTCACCATTGATCTGCAACTGTGTCTTCCATTGTGCCATCGATCTTTGCACAAATTTTCTGATGTTTCTACTGACTCCTGTTATTTCTAGGCACTTTGATTATCCAATCATGTGGCAGAGAGTCAAATGCCTTTTTGTAGTCAATCCATGCCACATTCAGGTTGGTCTTCCTTCTCTTGCAGTTTTCCAAGATCATTTTGTCTATTAGGAGTTGATCTTTTGTTCCTCTGCTATTGGGGCGGTTTCTTTCTGCTCAGGTAGAAAGAGATTGTTTTCAACTAGATGCTGTTGTACTGCATCAGCTACCACACCAGTTAGTAATTTGAAAGTTGTTGGTAAACAGGTAATTGGCCTGTAGTTGCCTGGTGTTGCCCCTTTTGCTGGATTTTTCATTATTAGGTAGGCTTTCCCAGTTGTTAGCCACTTTTCAATTTCTCCTCCTTGTAGTATATTGTTGAACTGCTTGGCAATGAGTGGGTGTATAACAGTTAGATGTTTCAACCAAAACCCATGCAGTTCATCTTCACCTGGTGCTGACCAATTTTTGATTTTCTTTGCTCTTTTTTCTACCATTTTTGTTGTTATTACTAGTTCTTTCATTTCAACTTCTGTTTTATTTGCATCCACCTCTTTTAACCAAGCCGCATCCTTGTTGTATTTCTTTGGGTTATCCCATATCTGCTTCCAGAACTGCACTGTTTCTTCCTTGTCAGGTACTGACTGATTCCTTGCAGTTTCTCCATTGATGGATTGGTAGAAACGTTTCTGATTGGATTGAAATTGGAGGTTCTGCCTATAGTTTGCAATTCGAGCTTCATATCTACTGATTTTCCTGGCTATAGCTGTTATTTGTTGCTTTATTATTTCCAGTGCTTCCTTGATCTTCCTTGTTTCTAAGTGGTATTTCTTGATTAGGTATTCTTTGGTCTTCTTGTTCTTCAGCTTCTTTTCTTTCATCTGTTCTAGCTTGCTTGCATGTGATCTTAACTTGCTGATCTTATTTTCTAGTCTAACCTTCCATTTTTCTGGTGCACTGTTTGTTTGTTTTTCTTTTTGTTGATTTTGCATCCCAGGTATTCTGTTATAACTGCAGCTGTGCTGTACATTAGTTGGTTTGTTTCTTGCAGTGAATTGGTGCTTATACTTGCTATTGCAGTATTTGCATCTTTTAATGCTTGTGCTAGCTGTTTCTTTGGAACAAGCTTCAATGCAGGTAGCCTTATTCTGTTGTTTTTGTGCTGTTCTAGATGCTCAGTTATTCTTTGTTTCAATTCTTTTATTTCTTTAGTTAGAGGGTTTTGTTCTTCCTGAGGAAGAGGTGCCTGGTTTCCAAATGAGAACAGTTGTATATCTCTGCTGGATTCCTTCACTGCCAACTCCCCCTGGTTTGCCTCTACATTCTGAATTACTTCTGGTAAGGCTTTGATTTCTTTGCCCTGGGTAAACCTTTGCAGTTCGTCCAATTCTGTTTCTGTGAATACTTTATTTCGTGTTATAAATCGGCGTTGATCTGCTAGTCTCTGTTCTGTTATTTCTGATTCTGGATGTTGTTCTTTCCAGAACTGGTGCATTCGTTTTAGATATCCTCTTCTTGTTGGACTTGATCTGTAATAACAGATCATTATTTCTTTGTTTTCCATCACTGTGTATCTGCGACGGGTAAACACCTTTTCTTCCAGTAGTTCTGCAGCTGCTGGCCCTGGTTGCTCAGCCAACAGTCCTGAGTCCTGCAACCCATTTTTCACCAGATATTCAGGAACACCAATACCTAGTGCGGACCTTGTTAACCAGGGTGACATCCGAGCCGGTATGGCATTCTGCAATTTACGTCTCACCATATTTTTTATGGGAGAGACACTCTTTGTCTGACTCCTCTGATGAGACCTGTCCAGTATGATTGAACCTCTGGCATAACTCTCATCTTCCTCAGAGTACACAAGCCCCACAACCACGTCAAGGCAGTGTCTCACTGGGGGTATTATTATTATTATTGTTATTATTATTATTATTATTATTATTATTATTATTATTATTATTATTATTATTATTATTCTATATGATTGTTTGGGTAGTATCCCTGTATAAAGGTATCATTTTGGTTATTTGAAGAATGTGTTAGTTATAAAGCAATCATTGGAGGAGTAGAAATTGATAAGTGGATATCTGGCTTCATTTCAGTGTCCAACATCCTGCAATCTAACTTCATTTTCCTCTTTAATGTTTCCAACTTTGACATTCCCGTCTTCAATCACAAATAGCATATCTTATGTATACGTTCTGTCAATTTAAAAATTGAACTTAATCATAAAACATATCAACCCACTTTCAGTTATTTCAGCGAGCCAGGGATCAACATAAAAGATGACCTCAGATGTCCCTTCCATTTTTTTTGGCATACTAAGTTTGTTAATTCCCCTCCTTGAGAGAGATGGGTGGTCTAGAAAGATGAAATATAAACAAACAAATAAAAAGAGTTCAGCACAAAGAGCAAAATGTGTTACTTTTGAGGGTGCTTTCAATTAAAATCAGTGACGCATATTTGCATGTATGGAAGAAGTTGAAACTGGTAGAGGTGAGCAAGCTAGTGAGAAGATAGGCTTCACTCCAGAAGATAGGCTTCAGGTACAGAAGGATCTGGACAGACTTGAACACTGGGCACTAACTAACAAAATGAAATTCAATGGTGAAAAAAGCAAGGTTCTACATTTAGGCAAGAAAAACCAAATGCACAAGTACAGCATAGGTGGCACCATGCTCAATAGTAGTAACTGTGAGAGGGACCTCGGAGTCCTAGTAGACAATCACTTAAATATGAGCCAGCAGTGTGCTGCAGCTGCCAAAAAGGCCAACACAGTGCTAGGCTGCATTAACAGAGGGATAGAATCAAGATCACGTGAAGTATTAATACCACTCTTCAATGCCTTGGTAAGGCCACACTTGGAATACTGCATCCAGTTTTGGTCACCACGATGTAAAAAAGATGTTGAGACTCTAGAAAGAGTACAGAGAAGAGCAACAAAGATGATTAGGGGACTGGAGGCTAAAACATATAAGGAACGGTTGCTAGAATTGGGTATGTCTAGTTTAACGAAGAGAAGGACAAGGGGGGACATGATAGCAGTATTCCAATATCTCAGGGGCTGCCATAAAGAAGAGGGAATTAAGCTATTTTCCAAAGCACCTGAAGGCAGGACAAGAAGCAACGGGTGGAAACTAATCAAGGAGAGAAGCAACCTAGAACTAAGGAGAAACTTCCTGACAGTGAGAACAATTAATCAGTGGAACAGCCTGCCTCCAGAAGCAGTAAATGCTCCAACACTGGAAGTTTTTAAGAAGAGACTGGACAGCCATTTGTCCGAAATGGTGTAGGGTTTCCTGCCCGAGCAGGGGGTTGGACTAGATGACCTCCAAGGTCCCTTCCAACTTTACTATTATTATTATTATTATTATTATTAAGGTTGTGTGTGCGGTTCCATTGCAGGTCAACATCCATTCATGCTCTGGCCCCTCTATCTATGCACACCCATTGCTTCCTCAAACCTAATTCATAGTAGACTGCTGCTCATTTACTCCAAAGGGAAATAAGCAGGAAAAAGATATGGTCCATCTCTACTATAACACCTGGACTTCCACAGGTTGCTATCAAATCATCTCAAAAGTGTGTGATATAATAAAGATTGTTTTCTGGGAAAATATGCAAAATATGCAGTTTTGTATATACCATGCAAAAATTGAAGAGGGGATTTTTTTATTTCTCTCTTTCATTCCACTAGCTACTACCAATTAATAATAGTAAGCGAATGAGAGGAAAAGTAGGGTTGAAGGATCAGCAGATAGGAGAACGAGAATTCTGGAGAAAAGTGCATATGACTTGGAGACGTAGACAGATATGGGTTGGTTTACAAATTATCATTGTTCATTACCATGGTGATGGGAATAAATCTTTTTTAGAATGTAATTCGAGCCAAGGAGAGCTTGGTTGACTCAGAATGTCAGATTTTTACAACTTTATTACAATTTTCACAATAGAATTAAAATATGCTCAGGAAAAATGAATGTCTACCTTCATCAATACTTCCATCTGAATTTATCTCTATAGAACAACCTATAGTTAGTGCCAATAAAATCATTTACTCTGTTTGCATTTTCCAAATAATTTCTTGAGTGCGCATAAGACGTCTTGATTCCTCAGGCTGTATATGAAAGGATTCATGGTGGCAGGGACTATGGTAGTAAACACGGCATTAATCATAGACCTTTCAGCAGAATAAGAAGTCATATAGGTCAGAATGGCTGCTCCATAGAAGAAACCCACCACACAGAGATGGGACAGACAGGTTGTCAAGGCCTTGTGGCTCCTTTCTGAAGACTGTACCCTCAGAACCTGAAGGAGGATAGCAATGTAGGAGGAGGAGATGACTGAGAGGGGAAGGAGAAGGACCAGGAAACTTCCACCATAACTTATTCTTATAAAAATAGAATTATCTGAGCAAGAGAGTTGTAGAAGGGCTGGATAAACACATATATAATGCTTAATCACATTGGATTTGCAGTAGGGAAGGGGCAGGACATAAAGAGAGCAGGGCAGTGCCTGGAGACTAGACATAAACCAGGCCACCACTGACATCACATGAAGGATGCTTTTCCTCATGAGGATGGGATATTGCAAAGGTTTGCAGATGGCCACATACCTATCATAAGACATTGTAGCCAGGATGAAGCATTCTCCTCCTCCTAAAATCAAAGTTACAGTAATTTGAGCAATACATCTGTAGAGTGAAATTGTATATCTCTTGATTACAAAACTGACAAATGCTTGAGGAACAATGGAGACAATCTGGCAGAGGTCCAATAAAGCTAATTGTCTGAGAAAAAAGTACATGGGAGTGTCAAGAGTAGAGTCAGTACTGATTACAATGAGAAGGAGACAGTTTCCAATAATTGCAATAAAGAACATGAAACCAATAGCAACCAGAAAAATTGTGGGTGATTTTTGATATTGAAGTCCAAGTAGGAGAAATTCTTTCCACGATGAGGTATTCTTTTCCTCCATCCCTTTTTCATGCATCCAGGGCCACAACTTTATGGTCACAGCACTGTATAAGCAATAATATAGGCAGGTTTATACTTGAAGAACATGGAATATTAAATGATAGTAAACTAGAAGTTTGGAATAAATGAAAGTAAGCATTCAAGTCCCCTGTCATCTTTCCACTCTCTCCTCCTATATTTAGTGATTATTTGTAATCCTTGCTGTTCCCTTGAGTGCCTCCTGCCACTTTTTTTAACATCCATACTTCAAAGATCAATTCATTGGAACCAATTCACTACTTGGTTCATTAATCGAGAACACATTTCTCAATCTGAAATCCTGATTCTATTTCTCGTTTAATATTGCATTTTTTACAAACCATTTTTATAAACAGGTTGTGTGTGTTCCATTTCTTTGGGTATTATTCTTGCCATGACAATAGCTTAAAAAATGTAGAAGATGTCTTGCATCACATGGAGACATTGATAGAGGCAAATGGGCATAATCTGTGGCTATACTAAGGAAGAGCTTATCTTTCAATGTTGTACAGTTGCAAATTGTGAATAATTATATCACAGGATTGGAGATAAACAAATACACACAGAGAGATATACGTAAACATGCAGACATACAGTACATGCATGCATAGGGTGCAATGTAACCTCAATATCTCTGTGCTCACAGAACACCAATTGCATTGGAGATAAACAAACAAATTCACACGCGCGCACACGCACACACACACACACACACACACACAGACATATATGAACGCATATAGCACAAAGTAACTTTATTAATGTAACATCAGAACAAAATGTTTCTAAAGATGTTTTCTACACAAATTCTTCCCACTCTTGCCTTCCAAGCACAACATCCTAATGGACTTTATTTACTGTACACTAATTATAAAATTGTCTCAAAAAGTACTGTATTACAAATAATAATCAGAGAAAACTTGCATTTTCTAGTATATCAGTAAAGGAGAATATCTGAAGGTTGAAATGAGGAGTCCTCGGTGCTCTGAACTTGGTGGTTTTCTTGCAGACGTTTCATTACCCAATCTAGGTAACATCATCAGTGCTAGTGACTAGAAAACAACCAAGCTCAGAGAGCACCAAGGACTCCTCTAGCAGATTACACTTCCAATTTTGCTCATGTGGTTCGTACTCCAGTTCAACAGTAGAGATATGAGACTGTCAAGGTCTTATTGTGGGAGGAAAGCCCCATTTAAATAAGGAACTAAAACATTTGGAAATAGATGCAAGAAAGTGTCTTTTATTGGCATGAACAGCTACTGTGATCACTGAGCCCTTGCCATAGCAAAACAGAAAATTCCCAAGTCTGGGGACTTCTGGTGGAGAAATGGTGAGTTTGTGAACCTGATTAGAACAGGTGTCCTTGTTCTGCCAAAGTAGTGAGCTTGATGACTGCTTTGTCTCCCAGCACTGAGATCCACGGAAAACTGCTGACAAGGAGCAGCTGTCTGGACCATATGGGAGTGATCGCCTTTCCTCACTTTGTCTGGAGAAGTTTAGAGAAACCATGGTCAGCATCTCTGCTCTCTCAGAGACATGTTTAACTTGCCATTCCTCCACTAGAAGTCCTCAGCCTTTTCTATGCTGCTATGGCAAGGGTCTAGTGATCACTGTAGCAGTTTATGGCAATAAAAGACAGTTTCTTGCTCCTATTAAAAGGAAGGAAGAAAGAAAGAAAGAAAGAAAGAAAGAAAGAAAGAGAGAGAGAGAGAGAGAGGAGAGTGGGGAGGAAGGACAGGAGAGAAGGAAGGAAGGAAGGAAGGAAGGAAGGAAGAAAGAAAGAAAGAAGTAGGGGAGAGCAAGGAGGGAGGGAAGGAAAGAGAGAAGGAAGGAAGGACAAAGAAAGAGGGGGGGAGAAAACATTATTTTTCAATGTATATAAGATTCTATAACAGTGGTTCTCAACCTTTCTAATGCCGCAACCCCATAATACAGTTCCCCATGTTGTGGTGACCCCCAACCACTTATACATCACCGGGTGCCAGGGGCGTGGCCAAAGAAAAGGGGGGGAAATGGTGGACAGCCTTGTTTGGCGACCCTCATGAAATGGTCGTTCGACCCCAAATGGGGTCCCGACCCACAGGTTGAGAACCACTGTTCTATAAAAAGAGCCATATGGATCAACCCAACAATCCATCCAGCCCAGCATTCAGTGTCCCACTCAGGCCAGTCAGAAGCATGGACAGGAGAATAATGGCCCATTTCATTACCTTCCCTAGCAGCTGCTACTCAAGGTAGGCATTCCAGCTAGTCATCTGTGATTCCTGAAGCAACAAGCACTCATCTGTATCCACAATCCAGGAACAGCTCAGCCTCCCATGGATCTCTCCGGATGGAGATTACATCATTTCTTTTCACCTATGAGCTGGTGGGAGCATTAGTGCAAATGAGGACCTGGAGATGAAGGGGAAAGTCTTCAGATCATTTTCCCTAATGAAACTATTGTTTCAAAGCAAAAAATTTGCAACCATTTTTTTAATGCAGACAAGTTCCTACTCCTGAAACTAACACCTAAATAATTTCTAGCATTCATATGACTCAAGCATACTAGGATTTAAACTCTCTAAGGAGACCAAGTTAGTTTTTTCTTTAGAGAAATAGGCCTTGAGAATTAAATTATGATGCAATTAAAAAAATCACCTCTTTTTTATTTTAAATATCTTCCCATCTTGGCTTCATGTCAATTTTTGACAACTAAATAAATGCCTCTTCATATTTCTCTCTCTCTTAGAATAGTCCACCAGGGCTTTTATATCCTTATAATAACAGCTGAATTCCATTTATCTTGTTCATCCTTTGTTCTTCCTTTGGGAAGATTCTATCACACTTTCATAAAAACTCATCTTGCTCAGTTTAATAAGAACTAGCTTTTTTTTCTAGGCTAAGACACACACCCTTTTGTGGACCCTTTTGATTAATTTTGACTTTAGAAATGAATTATGTAAAGGGGGTCTATGTCCACTCTCTCTTCCCTATAGAAAGGGATAATGTGCAAAATATGCAAAGGTTGAAACCAAAGTTGACGTGGTGGTAGAATAAAAAAAAAAGATTAAGTTTGAATATAGGATGAATAAAGTCAAGGACTAGAAACAAAAAAAATCAACCTCAAAAAAATTGTCAAGAGCATTCAAGTGGGAGAGGCATGTGGGCTTTAGAGAAGCAAAATGTATGGAATCTGAGGACGGGGGCAAGCTAGAAGACCATAACCCAAATGGATATTCCAGAGAGAACTGAAAGACCAGATTAGCTATATGTGGTCAAATTAGGTGATTATCCCCTCCACAAAACACTATCCTGGGGATTTAGAAGGCCGAGGAATGCTGGGGATTGAACCACATACAAGATAACTTCTGGAGCCTCTTCCAATTCTGGATTTTTTTGGGGGGGGGGCAATATAAGTTTGATAATTCCACTCCTTGGAGGAGATAGGTGGTCTAAAAACATGAAATATAAATAAACAAACAAAGAAAGAAATATAGAATTCAGCACATAGAGCAAAATGTTTTATTTTTGAAAATGCTTTCATTTAATGAGGGGAAAAGGCAGAGGTTCATGAAAATCAGTGACACATATTTGCATGTATGGAAGAAGTTGGAATTGGTAAAGATGAGCAAGCTAGTAAGAAGGTTGTGTGTGGGGTTCCATTGCAGGTCAACATCCATTCATGCTCTAGCCCAGTGGTTTTCAACCTTTTTAATGCTGCGACCCCAACTGGTCGTAAGTCGAGGACTACCCAACCTGTCCGGGAACGCCGCGCATGCGTGGTACCGCCCCCTGTGCTGGTCGAGGCATAGCTGGCAAGGGGCAGCGACGGCACAGGGCGACCACCAGCTGGGCCACCAGCTGGCCCAGCCCAAGGGGGGTAAGGCACCCGCTGAGCACCACACACGCCAGCAACCCTCCCTGCGCCCGCCAGCCTCCCACCTCCCACCCTTGGCCCTCTTTTACTTACACTTTTAGTAGTTGCTCAGCAGGGAGGGGTGGAAACTTCTAGACAGCTCACCTTCGCTGCAGACAACTTGCAGCATCGTTTGCAGAATGGGACTTTTGGCGGGCTCAGCAGGGCAGAGACAGCCTGGACAATTCCTATTAACTTTTGAAAACCAATAGAATTAGACTCTATTCAAGAGAGTCTATTCTATTGGCTTTCAAAAGCCAATAGAATAAAAGGGAGTAGCACAGCTAAGGAAAAGGGGGAAAAAATGGCAGACTGCATTGTTTGGCGACCCCCGTGAAATGGTCATTCGACCCCAAATGGGGCCGCGACCCACAGGTTGAGAACCGCTGCTCTAGCCCCTCTATCTATGCATACCCATTGCTTGCTTAAACCTAATTCATAGTAGACTGCTGCTAATTTACTCCAAAGAGTAATACATATTTTCAAGAGAAAAACAATATGGTCCTTCTCTATTATAACCAACTGGACTTCCACAGGTTGCTATCAAATCATCTCAAAAGTGTGTGATATAGTAAATATTTCTGGGCAAATATGCAAGAGAATTATTTTCTGGGAAAATATACAAAATATGCAATTTTGCTTGCCCAAACATAATTCATAGTAGACTGCTGCTCATTTACTCCAAAGGGAAATAAGCAGAAAAAAGATATGGTCCATCTCTACTATAACACCTGGACTTCCACAGGTTACTATCAAATCATCTCAAAAGTGTGTGATATAATAAAGAACTGTTTTCTGGGCAAATATGCAAAATATGCAGTTTTGTATATACCATGCAAAAATTGAAGAGGGGATTTTTTTATTTCTCTCCTTCATTCCACTAGCTACTACCAATTAATAATAGTAAGCGAATGAGAGGAAAAGTAGGGTTGAAGGATCAGCAGATAGGAGAACGAGAATTCTGGAGAAAAGTGCATATGACTTGGAGACGTAGATGGATATGGATTGGTTTACAAATTATCATTGTTCATTACCAGGGTGATGGGAATACCATCTTTTTTAGAATGTAATTTGAGCCAAGGAGAGCTTGGTTGACTCAGAATGTCAGATTTTTACAACTTTATTACAATTTTCACAATAGAATTAAAATATGCTCAGGAAAAATGAATGTCTACCTTCATCAATACTTCCATCTGAATTTATCTCTGTAGAACAACCTATAGTTAGTGCCAATAAAATCATTTACTCTGTCTGCGTTTTCAAAATAATTTCTTGAGTGCGCATAAGACGTCTTGATTCCTCAGGCTGTATATGAAAGGATTCATGGTGGCAGGGACTATGGTAGTAAACACGGTATTAATCATAGACCTTTCAGCAGAATAAGAAGTCATATAGGTCAGAATGGCTGCTCCATAGAAGAAACCCACCACACAGAGATGGGACAGACAGGTTGTCAAGGCCTTGTGGCTCCTTTCTGAAGACTGTACCCTCAGAACCTGAAGGAGGATAGCAATGTAGGAGGAGGAGATGACTGAGAGGGGAAGGAGAAGGACCAGGAAACTTCCACCATAACTTATTCTTATAAAAATAGAATTATCTGAGCAAGAGAGTTGTAGAAGGGCTGGATAAACACATATATAATGCTTAATCACATTGGATTTGCAGTAGGGAAGGGGCAGGACATAAAGAGAGCAGGACAGTGCCTGGAGACAAGACCAAAACCAGGCCACCACTGACATCACATGAAGGATGCTTTTCCTCATGAGGATGGGATATTGCAAAGGTTTGCAGATGGCCACATACCTATCATAAGACATTGTAGCCAGGATGAGGCATTCTGCTCCTCCTAAAAGCAAAGTTACAGTAATTTGAACAACACATCCGTAGAGTGAAATTGTATACCTCTTGGTTTCATAACTGACAAATACTTGAGCAACAATGGGGACAATCTGGCAGAGATCCAATAAAGATAATTGTCTGAGAAAAAAGTACATGGGAGTGTCAAGAGTAGAGTCAGTGCTGATTACAATGAGAAGGAGACAGTTTCCAATAATTGCAATGAAGAACATGAAACCAACAGCAACCAGAAAAATTGTGGGTGATTTTTGATACTGAAGTCCAAGTAGGAGAAATTCTTTCCACGATGAGGTATTCTTTTCCTCCATCCCTTTTTCATGCATCCGGGGCCACAACTTTATGGTCACAGCACTGTATAAGCAATAATATAGGCAGGTTTATACTTGAAGAACATGGAATATTAAATGATAGTAAACTAGAAGTTTGGAATAAATGAAAGTAAGCATTCAAGTCCCCTGTCGTCTTTCCACTCTCTCCTCCTATATTCAGTGATTATTTGTAATCCTTGCTGTTCCCTTGAGTGCCTCCTGCCACTTTTTTTTACATCCATACTTCAAAGATCAATTCACTGGAACCAATTCACTACTTGCTTCATTAATCGAGAACACATTTCTTAATCTGAAATCCTGATTCTATCTCTGGTTTAACATTGCATTTTTTACAAACCATTTTTATAAACAGGTTGTGTGTGTTCCACTTCTTTGGGTATTATTCTTGCCATGACAATAGCTTAAAAAATGTAGAAGCTGTTTTGCATCACATGGAGACATCGATAGAGGCAAATGGGCATAATCCGTGGCTATACTAAGGAAGAGCTTATATTTCAGTGCTGTGCAGTTGCAAATTGTGCATAATTGCATCACAGGATGTGAAATAATCATCCCTTGAAACACTTTAAAAGAAGAAGCTCTTTGTAGGAATATTCTGTGTTTGTGGAATTAGCAAACTTTGCCTGCTCTTATATCGTTACACATGTTGTAGTGTGTGCTCAAAGAACATAGACCGAATTGGAGATAAACCAAGAAATACACAGACACAGATATATGTACACATGCAGACATACAGTACATGCATACATAGGGTGCAATGTAACTTCAATATTCCTGTGCTCACAGAACACCAGTTGCATTGGAGATAAACAAACAAATTCACACACATACATATATAGACATACATGAACGCATATAGCACAAAGTGACTTTTTAATGTAACATCAGAACAAAATGTTTCTAAAGATGTTTTCTACACAAATTCTTCCCACTCTTGCCTTCCAAGCACAACATCCTAACGGACTTTATTTACTGTACACTACCGTAATTATAAAATTGTCTCAAAAAGTACTGTATTACAAATAATAATCAGAGAAAACTTGCATTTTCTAGTATATCAGTAAAGGAGAATATCTGAGGGTTGAAATGAGGAGTCCTCGGTGCTCTCTGAACTTGGTGGTTTTCTTGCAGACGTTTCATTACCCAATCTAGGTAACATCATCAGTGCTAGTGACTAGAAAACAACCAAGCTCAGAGAGCACCAAGGATTCCTCTAGCAGATTACACTTCCAATTTTGCTTGTGGTTCGTACTCCTATTCAACAGTAGAGATATGAGACTGTCAAGGTCTTATTGTGGGGGGGGGGAATCCCCATTTAAATAAGGAACTAAAACATTTGGAAATAGATGCAAGAAGGTGTCTTTTATTGGCATGAACAGCTACTGTGATCACTGAGCCCTTGC